TCAGGTATAAATTTAAAAATTATAATATATTATAGTTTTAAAAATATATATTATTGACTTTAATTCTAATTATTTTAAATCAGGTGGACGGTTACGAGCGCGGGAAACCCGATTGCCTCACAACCACGGTGTGGGATGGCCTCATCAGCTATTGGGCGTTGCCGGACTCGATCAGAACCTCCCAGACAAACTCCGAGAACCGCATGGCCACAGACGAGCATGGCAACATGAAGATGCTTCACACCACGGGCCGAAAACCTCACGGCGGAGTTCGTCTAGACATGGTATTTTTTTATAACTATTTAATTTTTACTTTATTTGAATATTCTAATATTCTAAATTAATATTTAATTTTTAAAAAAAATTAAGGCTAAAGAGACAGGAGTTCTTCCATCTATGAAAGACCTTTACGAGCGGACCCACCGGAGGAAGAGTGGGCAGTTTGTAGATCCTGCTTCCGAGCGGATCTACAACGAGGTTGCTTCCCGAGTTGACGAGCGCCAGACCCAGCTGACTCAGCAGACTGGGGCTCCGGTCGTATTATCCACTCTTGAAGTGGATAAGATTTACGAGGAGGTAAATAATTTGTTTTAATATATTAATTTTTATTATTTATTTAAATTTTTTCTTACGTTATTAATATTTTTATTTACAGGTCGTCCCGAGGAAAAATGGCCGTGTTGTCGGGATTGGCTCGGTTAACGATGTCCCCGCAGTGACATCGGCTTATGTTCACCAACAAGCCGATGCCAATGCTCAGCTGCGGACGGAGTTGCAGGCGACGCAGGCTCATGTGAGTACGCTCACGGATATCCTCGACATTATGGCGGTTGGAAACCCGCAAGTGGCGGAGATGTTGCGTCAGAGACGGGAAAGCGGAACCCTTCCATCCCAACAGCCTCCACCATCTCAGTCACAGCCGCCATCCGACATTGGAGACGACGACTTCGTGCACCAATTTCAAGATCAGCAGCATCCCTTATAGTTTTTTTTAGTTTTTAATTGTATACTATGAATTTAAAAACTTATTAATTGTATATTATTTAGTTATTTATAAATATTTTGTTATTTATTTTTTATTTATAATTTGGTGTTTTAATTTTTTCTAATATATATAATTTTAAATTTCTAAATATTTTTTTTTAAATAGGAAAAAATTGTTTCGAAGTAAACTCCTCGTAAAAGTTTCGAAGTAAACTCCTCGTAAAGTTTCCTAGCAAGTTCCTCGTAAAGAACCTACTACGAGGTTATGAGGAAATAGTTTATTATGCCCTTACGAGGAAAGTCTACGTGGAGCTTACGAGGAAACCTTTTCCACGCCTTTACGAGGAAACTTTTCCTCGTAAATTAGCTAGGAAATTACGAGGAAAATATACTTTACGATGAACGTCTTTCGACGAAACACGTTTCCTCGTTATTTCCTAGTAAAGGGCCATTTACTAGGAAATAACGAGGAAAACCCGTCCTAGTAAAGGATGTGTTTTCTTGTAGTGGTTCTCCTACGATTTTTGGTGCAAATCGCTCTTAAAAAAATTGGTTGGAAAAATATCTCCATTTTAAAACGGGGAATTGGGTTTTTAGGCCCAAATTATTTAAAGAAAATGGTAAAAACAAAAATATGAGGGTGCAGAGATTGATCGAACTAGAGTTAAGGGGGTCAATGTAAAGGATTCAACCAACTGTGCCACTATCATTTACATGTACAAGCCTAACAATTTCGTTTTTCATATTTGACTGGGGTCAACTGACCCCCCTCCTTACCATCTAGCTCCGCCCCTTTGTGTAGTAAAACATAGAATTTGATATACATCGTTCTTTTAATCTCGTAAAAGTTTCGAAGTAAACTCCTCGTAAACTTTCCTAGCAAGTTCCTCGTAAAGAACCTACTACGAGGTTATGAGGAAATAGTTTACTATGCCCTTACGAGGAAAGTCTACGTGGAGCTTACGAGGAAACCTTTTCCACGCCTTTACGAGGAAACTTTTCCTCGTAAATTAGCTAGGAAATTACGAGGAAAATATGTTTTACGATGAACGTCTTTCGACGAAACACGTTTCCTCGTTATTTCCTAATAAAGGGCCATTTACTAGGAAATAACGAGGAAAACCCGTCCTAGTAAAGGACGTGTTTTCTTGTAGTGGTTCTCCTACGATTTTTGGTGCAAATCGCTCTTAAAAAAATTGGTTGGAAAAATATCTCCATTTTAAAATGGGGAATTGGGTTTTTAGGCCCAAATTATTTAAAGAAAATGGTAAAAACAAAAATAAGAGGGAGCAGAGATTGATCGAACTAGAGTTAAGGGGGTCAATGTAAAGGATTCAACCAACTGTGCCACTATCATTTACATGTACAAGCCTAACAATTTCGTTTTTCATATTTGACTGGGGTCAGCTGACCCCCCTCCTTACCATCTAGCTCCGCCCCTTTGTGTAGTAAAACATAGAATTTGATATACATCGTTCTTTTAATCTTTTTCAGATTTTTAACATAAAAACCCCTCAACTAAGTTTATTTTGGATAAAAACCCCTAAATTAAGTATTTAATGAAAAAACCTCCAAACTACCTTTATTTAGTGAATTAAACACTCGCCAGTCATAATTACCAGTGCTACCGGTAAATTTTTAGTTTAGGGGGTTTATCATTAAACATAAAAAATAAAAAAAATCAAAAAATCAAAATATAATAACATTATCTAAAAATTCGTAATTTTAATTTTCAAAACTAGCATTTTAAATTTTTTTGTAAATATAAGCGTGGTTTCTTATCCTTGTAAAATGGATTTTTAACTCTTAAATATCTTAACTACGTTTTTTGGGCAAAACCTCCCAAACTAACATGTAAACCCCCATATTAAAGATAGTTGAAGGTTTTTTATCGTTAAAAATCTAAATTATAACATTATCTATAAATTAGTAACTTAAATTTTTAAAATTAGCATTTTTCAAACTTTCTGTAAATATATGAGTTTGATTTGTTTTAACATCAACATAATATATATATATATATATAGATTAAAATTTTAAAACACCAAAATATAATAAAAATCATGTAAAGATTTATTCTTACATTTTTTATTAAATAAAATATTTTTTATTCTGTTTTCTTGTTTTTATATTTATAACTTTTGATAATTTTTATTACAGGTAAATCTTTAGATAATTTTTGTTATATTTTCTTGGTTTTTACATTTTAAATTTATACATATATAATTTTGATTTTAAAAGGATAACAAATCAGACTCATATAGTTACAAAATGTTTTTTTTAATTGCAAGTTTTGAAAATTAAAATTACGAATTTTTAGATAATGTTATTATATTTTGAATTTTATTGATTTTTATGTTTAATGATAAAACCTCTAAACTGAAGATTTACCGGTAATACATGTAATTATGACCGACGAGTGTTTAATTCATTAAATAAAGTTAGTTTGGGGATTTGTTCATTAAATACTTAGTTTAGGGGTTTTTACCCAAAACAAACTTAGTTGAGGGGTTTTTATGTTAAAAATCCATCTTTTTCATCTATTCTCATTCCTCTGTTTTTAGTTAGTTCATTTACTCTGATACAATACATTTGCGCTACATTCAATATTTTTTTTAACTTTTCATGTAAATTTTACTGTAAGACCCAAGAAATACCACATTACACCTCATATTATATTGAAGTTAGGAAGCCTACAAAAATAAGATGGAGAGTGGGAGACGGTGAAATACACCTGATTGAATAACAACGCCAGAAACCACTATATGAACTTACTCTCATCTAGGTTTCAAAGTCATTTCGACTAGTAAAGACAGAGAGACGCAAGACTTTACACCTGTTACATTCCAATTTCCAAGGCTTGAGTTTCTACTTAAATTCGATGGTTCTCGGTAAACCGAACCGATTGATGCCTCAACTTCATCTACACTAATCTTCTTGACAGTGTTGCGTCACTGTTACTACCTTACTCCAGATTCTAAAGGCGCAAGTTGAGACTATCATGATCAGGCTTGCCATTGATCTTTGCCTGGTTGGTGTAGGTTAGGTAGACAAGTAGAAGGCTACGAGCTACATTTGGAAGAAAAATAATCAAACCTAAATCGGACAAATAAACATTACCGAGACTGAACCAAACAAAATTCAATTTTACATCTACAAAATAGCAAATTTCGAATTCAAACCGAACTGCAAACCGGATTGACTCGGATCAAATCCAATCTGTTGGTTAAGAAGACTAGGGTTGGGTTGCGGGTCAAATCCGCCTCGCTGATCGGTCAATCCACGAGTTTTAATTATTTTTTTGTTAAAAAATCCGACATGCACAACCCGCAAACATATAAATTTACACCCGCACCCGTCCCGCTTAATTTTACGGGTAATTCACGAGAGCTGCAGGTTATATATATATTTTTCAAAAATACTTTTATAATTTTATGAAAAGTAATAAAATAATATATTTATAATAAATTATATATTTGAAAAAAATAATTATTATTTTATTTAAATACCGTATTTTTAGAAAAAGTTATTTATTTTTACAAAAATACTATTTTCTAAAAAAACACAATTTAAAAAAAAAACATGAAATAAAAATTTTCTTGCCGATTGGCAGGTATCCGCTATTCAAAATCCAGTAACCCAGCTCTAAAGAAGACGCACAGAAAAAGGGAAGAGCTTATCCAGAGACCAAATTTCACATGAAGGTCTGAAGGCGAAATAAAAATCCTTCAATTCGAAGAAGATGGCTCTTCTCTGTTTCAATCTCCCCTCTCCTATCTCTTCTCTCTCTTCTTCATCT